AAAATAATATCTTGGACAAATATGCACAAATTGCTTGAAATTATGAGTATTTGAAGCATATAATGAATATTCATTTAAATACTCATGCTTTATTAGCTCCTTAAATCCATGAGTATTAGATTGACATGTTGAACATTCTATTTAAATACTTATTTATCATATGATTTTTAGTTGTCCTTATATTTACTTCATGATCCATCTAAAGGGAGGTAACATTATACTTTGATATGATTAACTTCTTAACTCCTTCTTCTTGTTGGAAAAGAATCTAATGAATGATTAAGGGGGAGATAGCCATTGACTTTGTCCTATGATTCTTGAGCACTTGAAATCTTTAACAATGATCTTAGAAAAATCTCAACAAGTTGTATTCATCTTTATCGATAATATCTCTTAAATATCATATTAAATTTGTGCTTAATAATGCCACACATTCGTGCTTAAATAATGATTGTTATGCTTTTTTACTATACTTGTTTGTATATAAATTTGTGAATATATTGGCATGATTGGTTGTGTATTAAATTTTGTTTTTAAATAATTGGATGATTACTTGATTATTTATTTGAATGAATATGTGAACATACTAGCATATAAAGTTGCACGCATATTATTAAATCGTGTTAACATTATATGTAGACTTATAAATGTTTTATATTTGATTATGCTTGTCTATATATATGCATATACAACTTGAACTTAAAAGATAATAAGTTCACACCTTACTTACAAGTGTACATCTAAATGTGGCATTCTTTGGTTGACTGATTGATGATATACTCCTTATTAAATCTCTTGAAATTATATGAAATGAGATATATCTTGATTTGTTTATGATATATTGATATATTCCATGATACCTTAATTAAATATCTTGAGAAGATATATATTATGCTCCTTAGATATGCTAAATGAGTATATTTCAATATGCTTTGCTAGAATATATATTGATTGAAAATATATCTTGATTTAATGCTATTATATTATGATGATTGGATATATTTCTTGATCTATTGATTGAATATTTGCATGGAAATATATCTCAATATTTTGATTTAATGATTAAAGATCATTATTGCACTTATTACTTCTTTCTACTTAATGATTATCACTAATCATTTTAGTTTTAGTTTAAGTACTTAAAGCTCACACTACTTAAACTTTTTGATATAACAGAAAGGGGGAGAAGGTTTATGATTACTTGAATTTGCATTGAAAATATTTTTTGAACTTCATACATATATTGAAAGGGAGAATTTTCGGAGTGCATATTCATTGGTTATGCCTTTCTCATTTACACTTAAATGTTTGCAACAAGGGCATAGAGACTAATTAAGTTAGGGGGGATTTCAAGAAATTTTAAATACAATATGCTCATGTTTTTGTCATATCAAAAAGAGGGAGATTATTAGCCTTGAGTTATGTCATGTTTTGATTTGACAAAAATCATATATTTTCTTAAACCTAATGTCAAGCATTTGGCATAGAGACTAATTAAGTTACGGGGAGGTTTCAAGAAATTTTAAATGCAATATACTCATATTTTTATCATATCACAAATGGGGAGATTGTTAGCGTTGAGTTATATCATGTTTTGATTTGACAAAAATCACATGTTTTCTTGAACCTAATATCAAGCATTTGAAAGTGTCTTAAATACAATTTTTAATCCCTTAAAGTTACATATTTGTTTGAAAAGCCATGCTTCATTAGAAAATACCTTATAAGCTTTCAAACAATGCATATTTAGTTAATAGAACAATAGCAAACATGCCCTGAAAATGTTATTTGAACATAGGAACAAGGCTATGAGGAAATAATTGAAGAAAAGCACCAAAAAGTTAAGGAAACCTTAAGACACAAGCCAAATGTCGATCCTAGATAAGCTTAAGTCAATCCAAAGGCTAAAAGAGTACATAAGTTGAAGATTAAAAAGCTATAGTTGATCCTAAAGTGTTTATAGTTGACCCTATTTCAGAAAGCTCAAAAAAATCACGTTTAGCTTGAGTGTAGTGAGAGAAGAAATTTCAACTTGAATGAAGTAAGGATTCAACTATGTAAGTTTGATGGAAGACTAAAACGATGCGAGATACTGCAGATGAACTTTTTGGTAGTTTCTCTAAAGTTTCAAGCTTTGATTTAGATATTTTCTTGCTTCAAAATGACTCAAATGTGTTTATTTATAGTTAGGGTAATGTTTGAAACCATTAAACATAAGTTTGAATTGACCATAACTAAAGGTTGAGGGTTAACTACAATGTTTCTAGAGTCGATGATATTTTTGTGGATTGTATAAGGGTTACTGCTTCATCCTATTAAAAAGCAAGAATCCCTTGTGGATTGTGTAAGGGTTATCGCTTGATCTCATGAAAAATCCTTTCTAAGGATTGTCGTTTGATCTCATTTAAAAAAAAAGAATCCTTTTCTGGATTGTATGAAGGTTATTGTTCAGTCCCATTACAAAGCAAAAATTCTTGATAGTGGATTGAAATTCCTTACTTATCAAGGGAGTGAAGGTAGGCATTGAAAAAACCGAACTACTATAAATTCTTTGTGTCTATCGTTAAATTTTCACATTGTCATTTATTGTGTATACTTGCCTTAGAAAAGCATATTTATATTGATTTATTGTTTTACACTTGGAAAAATATTTTTCCCTTTACTTTTCATAGCTAGGATTTAGCTTAAGAAAAATACTTTATTATATTGCTTTTCTACTTAAAATTTATTGTTGGAAAATTATTTTTGAAGCTAGGATATATATTTTTGAGTGAAAAAAGTTTTGATTTTTATACTTAGATTTTTAAAGAAACTTTTAATATATCAACCTCTCTTAATATATTGTTCATTGAGATTTCCACACTAACAGCTAGCGATGGAGGCAAGAAAAAAAATGGTAGAATCTTCCCTTTATGCGACCATAAGACTTATAACAAATATTACTTAGACAATTCTCATCAATAAGGACTAAAATTCCTAATGACGTGTGGTATTGTATATTCAACTTTCATAGAACAACAAGTTTGAAGTCATTGCAACAATTGTGAATGTGGAAACACTAATTGGATAGTATTACAACACTTGCAACCAATGTGCAATAGGCTTGCGATTTTGCGTCGGTAAATTTTGGTGTCCAACACATGATGAAAAGACACCAATTCTAAAGTAAGTAGACTAAACTATACTTTTTCTCAAGTTTAGTGAGAACTATTGTATCATAAATAAACAAACTGACAATTATTTATCTATTTCCTACATAATGATTTTGGAGTTTATAGTGGTAGACTAAACTGACAAAATTCAAATGCTTGCTTTTGGTTAACAAGCAGAAAGATTAATTAGTGCTACCATCACAAGAATTAGCAGCAGTCATATCGATAAACAAAATGATTCTTCCAGCTCCAATCAAGGCACTAATCAACAAACAAAGAACATTGAGGGTAGGGCTAACAGGAAAAGCCATTGACCAGGGTTCGATAATGTACAAGATTTTTTATTGTAATAGTGTCAAACAAGCCTTGCTTGAAAGCTCAAAATTTGAAGCAGTCTCAAGTTTCGCATGCTAGGACCCAACAACCTTCGAGACACCATTTCTGACTGTGGGACAACCCCAAATGGAAGTACCCCCATTGCCAACCATCACAGAAGTTTTCAAAAAACTTTTCCCAGAAGAGTCACGAAGGAAAAAAATCAAAACCAAGTAGGTAAATTATATTAATAAACAAACTTTTTATTATAACTATAATAGAACACCAAGCAAGAAACTAAAAGACATAATCATTCTATACGAATAACAGATCCACTAGAAGTGCAATAGCAACAAGGTGAAGAAGGAACTCTTTTGAAAAAGGACCAATTAATTTTTACCATAGTTGGAGTATATTTTTTGTAGCTCTATTGTATAGTTATGATTATGGTAAAAATGAATAGACAATCAAACAATTATTATGTTTCGTATAGCAACACTTACTAACATTTTGTCTGTCATTTTTTGAACAATCTCATTTGCACAACAAATGATATATGTGCCAAATTATATACAACATCCTTTTCGCAGGTTTCTGTTAGCCACAACATCTACATGAAGGGTCTTTTAAAACACTCTTAACTTTCAATTCATGTTCATATGTATGAACAATCATTTGTAACTTTCTATTCCAAATTAATTTTGTAACACACTTTTCTACTTATCTTACAACTCACCTAATTATTTTTGTTCAAGCATGGTTAAGTTCTTGCATCTACGTATAGATTTCTATATTTCTATTTATTGTCTATAAACATGCTTGATATATAACATTCATTACTTATTGTTTTGAAAGTTTGTAATAAAATATTTTTTCAAATAAATTTCACAATTATCATGAATTCAATCACTTGCGGTATTACGTGTGTAAACTACTTAGTATTTTACTTAAAAGAATTGGTGTAACTATAAGTTGGATAAAATCAAAAGTATTCATGACAATACAATTAATTCCTTTAAAGGGTGGTAAATCCAGATGTAATGGTATTCTCAAAAGAAATTAAACAATTGGCATATAAACCTAATAATTTAATAATCATGTCTTTCTAAAAAAAAGTTTAATATCTGCACTTGACATTTTTTTATAATAATACAATCATCTAATTGACGCACTTGAATTATCGTTTTTTATATTTAACTTATAAAAGTACATCACATATATTTCCAAAGAAAATCAATGCGAAATAATTGTAATTTTTTAAATCAAATATACCATATTAATTTGATTAGTAAACTATGAATGGTTTTGTCTTTTTTTGGGGGGTGAAACAATTAAAACTACTAGGATGTGACGCAACCTCTGTGGCGGGCGGCGAGCCCAGTTCCTAATTCGTAAAGTTCGTATAGAACTCCAGATTCTAACGAGCCAGCAAGACAAACAGAATCCTAGCCACCGATTCCAGGACACTATAGTCATTTAAACCTTCTCCCGTGTTACTCTCGTCATTCTAGAATATATAAATCTCTGATATCTTCGCTCTAATCTCACATGACAGTGACACCCAATCTCTCACGGGCCAATGACAATTCCGATCTAAGTCTGAAAACTAAAATCTCCAATCAAATCAAGCATCCAACCCCGCGTAACCTAAAAACCCGCCGTCTATTGAGAGTCTGCCCCCACTGACCTGCAGCCAACACAATTTTTCCAACACCGAATTTGTTTTGAGAAAGTTATAGCTTTCCCCTGAGCGGTGTCATAGCAGCCGCTGCAGGAATTCGTCGCCGATCGTCTCTTCTCTTCACTTCTTGTCGCACTTCCTTTCTTGTAAGCTCTTTCTCCCTTTTTGATTCGTAAAAGTTACTGGTTTGGTGACTAGCTTACCGAAGTTTCGAAGTGAATCTCGATGAGAATATTTTTGAAATCTTATATGATTAGGATGTAATTTGGGCTTGGTATAGCTAACTTGATTCATATAAGGAAGTGTAGACGAAGCCGTTCTCTTCATTTTGGAACTACTGTTTTTCTGTTTTTTGCTTTTATTGTTCATTGCTTTTGCCAGCATTTCGGCGCTGCAGATGCTTGTAAGTTTTAATAATTTTTGAAATGCTAAGCAGTGGATGAGGAAGCTGGCATTGATTTAGGTACTGTTAGACAGTCTTTTGTCACTTTTTCCCTTTTTTTTTTTGGCTTTTTTTTTCATATAAGGAAGTATTGACGAAGCCGTAGTCTCTTCATTTTGGAACTACTTTTTTTCTTTCATTGTTCATTGCTTTTGCCAGCATTACGGCTTTGCTGATGCTTGTAAGTTTTAATAATATTTTAAATGCTAAGCAGTGGATGAGGAAGTTGGCATTGATTTAGGTACTGTTAGTCAGTCTTTTGTAACTTTTTTTTTTGGCTTTTTGATTCATATAAGGAGGTATTGATGAAGCCTTAGTCTCATCATTTTGGAACTACATTTTTTTTCTTTCATTGTTCATTGCTTTTGCCAGCATTTTGGCGCTGCAGATCATTGTAATTTTTAATAATTTTTTAAATGCTAAGCAGTGGAAGAGGAAGCTGGCATTGATTTAGGTAGGAATGAACATGCAAAGATGTGGTTAGAAATGAAAGGAAATTATGGTTTTGAAGAGTTAAAAATTAAAATGTATTTCTTTCACAGAAGGAAATGCAAGTTTTACTTTTATAAACAAAAATTATAATAGAATCAGTATTGTGTTTTATTCGTCTGTTCATTTTTAATCAATTACTATGATCTTGCTTTCTAGCAACTTTTTTGGAAACAAAACGCAAGTAGCAAGGTAACAATAAATGGGGCCTTAGTATCCCCTTCTTTAAAGTCCTCCTTAGTCTTTAGCAGAAGCGAAAAATTTTACTATATTAGAATGCTACTTTGGCAGCTGCTTTTTATTAGCCAAAGCTTAAAGTACATTTTTGTACAAAAGAAAAAATTTTATTTTAAAGAATTCAGTAGTAAAAGTTTGAATTTCATAGACAACAAAAAAATATTTTATTTGGCTTCTATGTGGAAACTTTGTAAGCTAACCCTAGATGAAGAGATAACAGTTTATTTTATTTTTTAAGTGAAAAGTGTTTTTCTTAATGCAACACGAAAAAATAATTTCTAACTAGAAAAGTATTGTTATCATTTCACATGCCTTTGCTTTATCATTTGTTTTCCCCTTTGTTCTGTTTTTCTCTTAAACAGAAGTTTCCAGTGATAAGTGATGATGTTATCATGATGGTGTTTGCAGGCTGTGATTGATTATCCTTCTATCAAGATGGCTGGACCAGCTCCATTTGTAGATATGGGAAAAAAAGCCAAAGGTATCTGTTGCACATGTTTCCTCAATTCTTATTCTTGTCCAGTACTGTATTTTTAGATTGCCCGACATGTTTTCATTTGTGATAGTCATTCTTCTACTAGAAATGACTTGTTAATGTTTTATTGGCAATGCAAATCAGTTTGATTTGTAATGGAGCTGGCAAGCAGCTTTTTTGGAGGCATGGAGATGGTTGGGATAGAGGAATTAGGAAGTTAGTGCAGTTATATTTTGCTAAGAAAAATGCTTTATATTTGCCCAATAGCCAAAACAGTTGGTTACTAATTTACTAGTATACTGTGAGGATTAGCAAGTACTTTCCCATATGCTTAATAGGATGGCATTATCTAACAGATCATTTTTATTTTCTATCTTACTGCTGCAATAAATTGCCTTTTTTAGTCATTGACAATCAGGGGCTTTTCTTGCTATTTGCAACTTTTGGTGACTACCAATTCTTGGTGCACTTGTTTGTTTGTCTTTTCATGCGACAGCCTGGCGGATTTGAAACCTGCTGTTATATGCTTTTAACTATAGATTCTAATGATTTATATTTTTGCTTCTGCAGACCTCTTGACAAAAGATTACAACTTTGACCAAAAGTTTACTCTTACGATGCTGAGCTCCACCGGAATGGTATTGTTCCACCATAAATGTTGTTGGCCGTTATTATTGAGCTGCTTAGTTACTTTGCTTTTTATTTTTTGGCCAGAGCTTGATTGATCTACTTGAAAACTTAAATCTTTTGCTCTACCAGGATGTTATATGCCATCGATGTTATGGCTGCTATATATAGTTTGTTTGTTAAATATTAGCAGAATGTTTTTATGTTTAGTTTTTCACATATTAACAATATGCTTATGGGATTCTTGGCTTGACTTGATATGAATTCCCTTCTTAAGCGGTCTTTCCCAGCATATTACCATCAGAACTGTTATCGCATGATGTTACCCTTTTTTATTCTCTTGTGCTTGTATGTTTGTGTTGTGCCTATATATGTGAGGCATTAAGTCCTTGAGACAAGTACTATGTCCTATACAAACACACACAACAAGCCCATACTTTCATAATTATTTCAATTTTTTAGTGCTGGTCATTACTCTTTTTTGCTAAAGTGGATGAAACTGGTAATTATCGCAATGTGTGACCATGGGTGGCCTTAGTTTTAATTGAAATGGGATGTAGAAACAAATACCATCTAGATTCTTTCATTTCAATTTCCCTTGTTTCAACCCCTTAACTTTACTTCTGTTTGTTTTCTTCCCATAAGAGCTCAAATAATCCATTTTAGTTCTTGTAAAACATAATGGATACTGTTACCTTTAGTACATAACCTATGTTGCTCTGACTCTTCATTTTCCCTAAAGTATTTGTGTCAAAAAAAAATTTGGCGGACAGCGTATGGCTGTCTGACTCCAAATATAGGGAAAAACTTAGAAAGAATTTGAAGTTTTCGTGTTGAACACATACCCATATTGAACATTCACTCTTGAGTTCTAGTAACATAGTGTGACATAACTATTTCATCCATTAATTCTTCTGTCTTCTTTCTTATGTCATTCTGCCTAAGTCATTTTCATATTTTTGGAATCACTTCCTTGAAGGTTAGTCTAAGAATGATTTGAGTTTAGTGGGCTTATGGTTTCATGGTCCATAAATGAGAAATAGGAGTGTTTGGTTCCAAAGGAAATTAGAGAAACCAACAGCAGGAAGAATATAAATTATGTAGCATAGAATAAGAAGGAATTGAAGAACCAGGAAGAGACCCCATGTAGGGTAGAGAGAGCTAAAAAAGAATAGAATACTTGCTAGCTATGCCTCAAGAAACCAAATTCCTATTTTTTTGTTATTAATAGCCTAGGAGACTTGGAGATTGCAAAAGTATTTGCTTTCAAGGTTGGGATATCTTATTCACTTTTACTATCAATAGATTCTAACATTTTCAAAATGGTGCTAAGATAACTTCCTTTGAAAGAAAAAGAAAAAAAAAACACTCTGGATTGTTTGGTTATTTTAAAATACTATATTTGAATTTCTAACTACTTGATTGTTATGTCATCTGATGTCAATCTTAAAATGTATTGCAGGGACTTACAGCTACAGGGCTCAAGAAGGACCAAATCTTTTTTGGAGACATAAATACTGTGTACAAGAGTGGAAATACTACAGTGGATGTCAAAGTTGATACCTATTCTAATGTAAGGAAGATTTCACTTTTAAGACGGTTATCTGTGGCTTTTCCATATTTGTGATTCAGTTTAATGCATCGCCTGCTTGTGTTTTGAGGCGGGCGTTAAATCTTTATTGTGTAATCTCAGCTTTGCCCTTGTTCATCTTCATTTTTTATTTATTTTTTCGCAGGTGTCTACAAAATTGACTGTCAATGAGGTCTGGCCATGTTCCAAAGCTGCTTTAAGTTTCAGAATACCTGATCACAAGTCTGGCAAGGTCAGTGCATCAATGTTAACAGCGTATGAGAAAGACAGTGACACTGTGACTTAAAGTGTTGCAGTGTATTCTGGATGTACATCAATTTTCTTCCTTTTTTTTTTTTAAATTTATTTAGCTTGCACTGTTCTTGTGATGGAGATTGTGTTTCCAGTGACTGTTGACCATTCCAATTCTCTTGCTTAGCACAGATTTACCAAGGTTGTAGTTGAGATAATTATTGTTTTATTATGGTTCCTTTTTACGTACAGTACCTAGTTTCTGCTTTCTGAGTGTCAATTTATCTGGGAAAAAAGAAAGCAAATCAGTTTGATGGAGCATTACTGTGTCTTGATGCTTACTATTAAGTGGACCTGCTTGCAGGGTTTATATCAACTAAATTTACATGTTAATGTTATCAAACTAGCAATTTCTTGAAGTGTTGGTAATATAATTTTGTGTTTGAGAGAGAGGACTGACTCCTGTGCATCATATCTCAGCTGGATGTCCAATATCTTCACCCACATGCCGCCATTGATTCTAGCATTGGCCTGAATCCAACTCCTCTGTTGGAGTTTTCAGCAACAATTGGAAGCAAGGAACTTTCTTTGGGTGGTGAAGTTGGATTTGATACAGCCTCTGCCTCCTGTACTAAGTACACTGCTGGTATTGGCTTGAACAAGTCAGATTTCTCTGTTGCACTGTTACTGTAAGTACTTCTAGACCATCTAGGGAGGACCTATTTATTCTTTTTATCTCGTGTGTATGTGTGGCTGCAGTTTTGCATTTTTTGATGCCTTCAGTTAAGTTGATAAGTGCTACATCATGAGCAGTTACTTTATAGCATTTTGTTAGAATTCTAAAAGAGCTTAAGTTGGGTTAAGATGATCCTAAAATTGGGTTGCGTGGCACCTACACATATATCATGAAAGTGCATAATACTTTTTTAGGAGATAACAACTAATGTTGTACTCTCATGTGCTTTTAAACAAGATTAACTAACTCAGCACTTATTGCTATATCAAAGAAAAAGAAAACATTAATGACCAATCAAAAGGGAAAAACACAGAAAATATGGTGTATATATTTCACAAAAGTCAAATTGAAGCAAAGAAGTGGATATGATGCTATGCAATATTACAATTGATAATTCGAACTTATTAATATATCTTTTCAAACCCAGTTGTGACAACAAATCAGCCTTCTTTGAGTTAGTTCCTGGCTTGATGTTTCTATCTTAGGACTTCAAGCACCCAAGAACTTTGACTAGAGGCAGAAAAAATTGGGTCAAATGCAGCTGGTTCAAACAAAAAAAAAATCAACTCTTTCCCTATTTTGATATATAGATTTTAATTGCGTCAGTGATGTCCATGGTATTTTCTAGTAAAATATCCTTTGCCATAGCCAACATGGTCTTAATTATGTGCCCCAATGGCTTAGATCTTGACAAGGGATCTCCAAAATTTATTGGGAAAAAAGCATTATTTTAGTTTATACTTGATCAAAGTGAACAATTTGCAGTGAAACGTCTCTTCTTTTGGTGTCATGGAAAAATATGAGAAGGGGAAAAAGCACAAAAGATATGCTAGTTTCTTGTGGAGGAAAATGACCTTTGTGCACTCCTGGAAAAAGGCTTCTTTTGTCTCTCTCTTAAATGTACCAACCAAGTTTGGTTGATGCGTAATGGGAAAATGTTTGTAAGAGTAGTTATAATCTTTTAAGAAATTCGTTTAAGGTAATTTATGAGTGGATAAAGTAATGCCTACATTTTAGCCATCCTAATACTTTAAACTGTTGTGTATGGAGGTGTGCAGTGTAAGTAAATACAAGGCAATGTGAATATATCTAAACAATGATTGTTATGCTATACTTATAAGTCATGTAGTATGTTTGGAAGATTAATATTTCAAGACAATGTTTTGAAGACATTGAATTGCTATGAATTGGACCTTAAAGTGAATTTTGTGTGGTTTTATTAACAAATCTTGAAAAATGGAGTTTATTTGTTTTCTCTATGGTGTATAGAATAGCCTTATAGTTATCGTCCCTTTCTTCTGGTTAGACTACTAGATAAGTGTTATCTTTGTTGTTTACCAGTAAATCAACCAAACACTGAAATGCCCAGTATGAGGTTGGTGTGGCTTACTAATTGTGAGACTAACAGGCTTATGTTCTTTCTTATTCTCCAATATTTAGGCTTAATGGTCAACTCCCAATATCTTGTGGTTGCACGTTTTTTGGTTTATAATTACCTCATAGAATTGGAGTTAAAATGTCATGTATCGTAGATTTGTGACTAGACTAGCCCAAACAATCATCGGGCCAGTAGCAAATGGGGATTGTTGTGCGCACAAGACATTAGTAGGATTGGGTTGTATAGGGCGTAGAACAATGGGCTGTGCGGGGCGGTGTGAATTATCAGGCTTAGCATGCAAGGCCCATTTGCATGCGGGTTGTCTACTTGGGTTGGAATTCTTGTGTAATGTTGCTAAGGAATGGCGGCTAAGTTAGTCTATGTTAGACTAGTTGTGTTCTGTTAGGAATAGAACACTTTTCTTATTTATGTTTTCTTTATTATTTGCTTTACATGCACTGCAAGTAAGATTAGAATTCGGCAATTTTCATATTTATATTTTATCATAAATCTACTAGGGTTAGTAAGGGTTATAACAGTATAAATAACCCCTTTAATTGCTTAAGGGAATAACATACCAATAGTTGGCATAAGTCTATTGGGCCATGAGAAATAAAGATGCCACTTGTCATGGGCTTGAAATTTTAGCCTAGATCCGTTCGACCTTAACCTTTGAAAGTGAAGGTTAAGTGTAATTGTAATTGTGATGTGAAAGTGTGAACTAAAGAAGATATGTGAGAAATAAAATGTATTATTTTCCACAATTCAATAGACTTATATCAGTTATTTGTGTTTTTAGGGATGGCAATGGGTACCCTATTACAAGATACCCGTGGATACCCAACCTAGTTATATTGGCTTAGGGTATCCTATGATTGGGTTTGGGATGGGTTCGGGTAGTGATTTCACTACCTATATAGGGTTCGAGTACTACCCCTTTGGTACCTGCTATCCGAACTTGATTGCCATTTATAAATTTTTTATTATTATTTTAATATTAAATTAAAAATATATTTACCAACTTTACAAGCAATTCTTTTTGTTAAAAACTAACAATATATGAAAAGTATGGTTACTGTAATTATTAATGTGATGACATTAATATATTTAAATTAAAAAATTATTAGATTATTAATTATGTTTAAATAATATGAATATCTATCATATTATAAAGGAATATAATTACTATTTTATATATATACTTTTATTGTAAATATATTTACTTTATTTTGTGCTAATATTACAAAAATTATAACTTATAAAATTATTAATTATAATATATATATACCATTGTTTATATAAACTTATAATATATATACTTAAAGAGAGCTTTTGAGATTAGAATAGTTTTGGAATCTAACATTTTTTTTTAATTTCATCAAATTAAGGAAAAATTTATATAATTAATTAAATTAATTCATGAAACTATGATTATTAATTAACTTATAATGTCTTTTAATATATATAGTTTATATATTTGTGTTAATTTATAAGAAATGTAATTACTATTATATATATAATAAAATATTTTTAGTATATATATACTTTAAATATAAATATATTTACTTTTTATTTTGTGTTAATATTACAAAAGTTATAATTTATAAAATTATTAATTATAATATATATACTTTTATTTATATAAACTTATAATAAATAAACCTAAAAAGAAGTTGTGGATTAAAATAGTTTTGAAACCTAGCTATTTTTTTTAATTTCATATAATTAAGGATAAATCCATGTAGTTAATTAAATTAATTAATGAAACTATAATTATTCATTGACTTAGAATGTCTTTTAATATATATATTTTATATACATTGGGTTTATTTATAAAAAAATAAAATTACTATATACACTTTAAATATAACCATATTTGCTTTCTATTGTGTGTTAATATTATAAAAATTATAACTTACAAAATTATTCAAGCATATTTGTTTTTGATTATTTAAATTGAATTTTATTATGTTTTATTAATTTAATTATTAGTAAATTATATGAAATAAGTAGGAGAAATATTATTATATATGGATACGAATATGGATTCGGGTTCGGGTAATTAGGTATTCATGAATAACATTTTAATAAGTTTTTTACATAATTGTGTTTTTAAACAGATTAGGGTAATTATAGGCTAGTGAGGATGTATTAGGGTTAGGGTAAGAGTAGAATTTTAAAAAATGTTCAGGTAGTTAATGGGGTTTGAGTGCATAATTTCTTTTAGGGTTAGGGTTTGGGTACCTCAAAATTAACAGGTATTCTACCTATTGACAACCTTATGTGTTTTTCCCCTACAGAGTAAAGCCTCTGTAAATTAATATTTGATAAATTAATAATTTTGATTAAATAATATTTTTGGTCAATCTCGACTTAGGACCAACGTAGTAAATTTATAATTTGCTAAATTTATAAGATAATATCTTTTAAAAAAAACACGAGTTTCACTTGATATATAAATTAAAAATCTCTTCATAAGTCAAAATTATATATATACGACTTAAGAGGTCTTTCTAAAATATAATTCCCATGCTACTTGTTTCTTCTTAAAATTGATGTCTCTTTGGACCTCATCTCTAACTTTTCTTAGTGCATTAAGAAGCTCTAATGTAGTAATCTCGTATTGCAAGTAAAAATTATGCAATTTGACTATTGCTTTAAGTGCTCCTTTGTGCAAGACAGGCTTTAGTATAGAACTATTTTCTTTAACTTAATCTTCTTTATCATTTCTCATAACGTTTTCAATAATTTGCTCATAATGAATAATGATAATTCATAATTCAGTAATTAAGTAATATTCATATAATGACAATACATAATACAAATATTAAGTTCAATGTTTAGGGAAAAAAATAAAGAATAACTAGATAAATTAATTTTGTATTAATTAATGTATAAATTAATAATTATTGATTAAATAATATTTTGATTAATTAATAAATTTTCATGGTCCTCAAGGTATTAATTTATAGAGGTTTTAGTGTACTTACAATGCAATGAAAGGGGGTTTTTTAATGCCCTTCATAAAAAAAAAAAGAGGTTTTTTAATAATATGGTAATCTCAACTAACCCTAATAGAGTTATGGTAAAACATAAATATGAAAATTGCTTAATCCTAATCTTGCTTGTAGTTCAAATAAAGTAAATAACAAATAAGGAAAGTATAAATAAGAAAAGTATCCTATTTCTAATAGAATGTAACTAGTCTAACTTAAACTAATTAAGCTACCATTCCTTAGCAGCATTACACAAGAATTTCAATCCTAGTAGACAGCTTACATGCTCTCGGACCTTATGTACTAAGCTCGCTGCTTCGCACAGCCCATTGTTTTGTGACCCGTGCGGTCCAATCCTGCTAACGTCTTGTGTGCACAGCAATCCCCATTAACTGCTGGCCCGATGATTGTCTAGGCTGGTTTGGTCACGGATCAGATTCGTGACATTTCAACTCCTTTTCTACGAAGTAATTATGAACAAAAAATTGTGCAACCACAGGATATTTGGAGTTGACCATTAAAATAGAAAGGTAAACAGATTTGATAATTGATTTGGAGTGAGAAAAGATCAATGTTGATGGAAATTGGGTGGCTAAAGCTTGAAGATTTATAGTTGGAATTGTTAGACAGCCATTAAAATAGGAAACCAATATCTTCATCTCTATAAGATAATAATCTAGCCTCTATAAAGGTTCGAATAAGCCACTAATGCTTACAATTTGGGTAAATTTTATTGGTAGTCTTTGGACTTTTCAATCACGTGGATCTCTACACTTCAATTTCTACCAACTGGCTCTACAAAGATGGTATAGAAGAAATCCAGAACTTCCACCATATGTCGACAACTTGTTGCTGTCTTCCACTCTGACTTTGTTCTCTTTGGCATCTGGAAGCCTGAATGCCTCCCCCCGCTCCCCATCACAATCTTGCCCACCATGAAATCAACACAACCTAACATATGAACTGACATTGTGATGAATTTTGGTTGAAGATATAACAAAGTTCAGTATTAAAGTGTAATTGAGTCTCCAGAAAACACACCTCCAGGAATTGATGCAAAACTTTTGAATCAAAGAATCACTATCAATTGAACAAGATGTTTGTATTTGCATGTGTTTTAGCTATGAAATTGGTGTGAACTGTATACATTTTGGGGGACAAAAGGAGTTGTTCGAAGGTGTGAGAGAGAGAGAGTTGAACAGGAAGAATTAAGGGGAGAGCAGAGAGTCAAGGGGTGGATGAAGTTGGGGACATTGTGATTTAGTAAGAGAAAAGCAAAAGAAAAAGGATGATCCTATTTCAACACATGTTTTTGGCTTCTTAAATGCAAATGTCAGTTATATGAGTAGCAGGTAGGGCTGACATGTAAGTAATTGTGATTGATTTGCATAGAAGTGTGCATGGAAATAGGGTCATCTGGAGAAAGAGGGGAAAAGGAAAAAGGAAGAATATAAAGAAAATAAAGCCTACTACTGCTTTGGCATGTATTGCATTGAGTTGGATGCTGATGTTATTGCCACATCAGCCCTTTGTTTCTCTTTGTAATGCCAGAATGACAGGATTTCCTGCATGTGGAGAAGTTTGGTGACATAATCTGAGTTGAAGTTTAATGATCCAAGTGAAACTTGTTTAAAAATTAGTGGATATTGCAATTCCCTTTTCGATTCCATTGAAGTTGATCTTTTCTGTTATTGCTTTATTATCCGCATCATGGAACATAGCATTAGAAAATGTACAATCAGTATGGTAATTCTTGTATTTCATGTTAACTTAGAGAAGATGCAGACAATTTTGATTGACTCTTTTGCAAAGTGTTCAGAAAATATGTTGGTGATCTTGATTGAGGTTTCAGCAAAGAGGTTGATCATTTTTATTATTTATAATGTCTAGGAGCATTTGATGGGCAATAATCATGTATGACAGATTTTCTAAATGTGGTGATTCTCTGTGCAGTGAACTAATTTTTCTTTGTTTTGAATTTTATCTTGGTTTGACTTGCTAATTGGATTCACTTCAGTCTGTTCCCTCTGAGGTTTTTGTTTCTTCTAGTTTTAGGGTTCAGTTTATGTTATTGATGATCATTATTATGGTAAACATCAGCTTAATTCCTTTGATATACAGAAATAGGATGTGTAATATGATTATATTTTAAGAGGTAAAAACAAGTGTGCTGAACAGTGCGGAGAGTTTAAGGTGCATAGGGCCCATTGGGATGAACCAAATATCTAGTTAGCTGCAGAATGTTTTTAGGGTTCCATTTGCTTCTGACTGTGATGGGCAATTTTCCAATAAGAAAGAAAGACCAAAACAAAGCGTCGTTGTCTCTGTATGTTAAATTCAGATGATGTTTTGTCAGACAGGCTTTATGAGAGTTGCTATGGCTCATTTGATTAGTTTGTCAACCTTTTGTGCCTCTTGTCTTGTGGTTCGACTTTGCTCTTGCGGCCATCAAAGTCTTGAAAGCATGTTTTCTGTTATATAGGACTGATAAAGGACAGGCTCTGAAGGCATCTTATATCCATTCTGTCAACCCCTTAACATGTGTTGCTGCTGAAATGACTCATAGATTTTCCACCTATGAAAACAATTTCTCCATCGGAAGTTCCCATGCTGTGGATCCTTTTACGATGGTAAAGACACGGTTTTCTGACAATGGGAAGGTTGCAATGCTGTGCCAACGTGAATGGAGGCCCAAATCACTCATAACTGTTTCGGCAGAGTATGATCCAAAGGCCGTCAATGCATCCCCTAAGATGGGGCTTGCCCTTGCTCTCAAGCCTTGACAGGGAAGATGTTCAGTTTAAAACTCTTTCAGTCAGCAGTTTGAATTCAACATTTGATGATATATTTTTTTTCCCCGGAACCCTTTTATTCCACCCAGATCATTTGAAAGATCAGTTGATGAGCTGATGAATGTTTTTACTAAAACGGTAGTGGGGAAAGCAAACCCGATTTTGGACAAGTTTATAATTGATAACACAAGAGCAGTTTTTGTTGCTGAATGTTGAGAATGGTTTCATGTTGTATGCCAGGGGTATTTTCCCTGTTTTTCTTTGTATGGAATCCCTGTATCTGTGGCATTTCGTCGTCTTCGTTTCTCTACAATGCTTTTACCTCACCACTCAAATTGCCAATACCTTTGTCGTAACCCACAAGGTGGCCTAGTGGCAACCCAAGTGAATATTTTTTGGTAATGTAAGTGATTAAGATGGTACTAACTATTTGGCGCACCACTAGTAGTAACTAGATTCATTCGTTTTCTGATTTTTAGATTTGGTTCCATTTTCTTTTTCTTACTTCCTTTGCTTTTTAACTTTAAACAGCAGATTTGACGAAGCGTCAATGTGGTTCAATCTCTACTATCTTTTCTAGTTGCTTCTAGCAAAGATTTTCTATGAAAATCTGGTTGGACTGTGTATTTTCTTTTATTTAGTGAATGAAAAAAGAGATGCAATCCATGTTGTATTCGCCAAAAGAATGCTACTTAATAAAGTTATTCATTCGAATTTAACTACCTTTGTGGGAATTTCATTTTTATTTATTTATTTTGGCGATCATGACATTCACGGCGTTGCCGGCCAACTTGATCTTAATGACCTTCAATATTCAACCTTGGAATCTAATCAAAATTCAAAAAGAATTATGCTCTCTCTCAAAAATTAAACAAAAAAAAGAAACATGTCCATTCCATGGAATATTGAACTTAAAAGCAATCAATCCAACTTGGAGCTTAGAAGAGTATCATTAATGGGGAAATGGTAATTGGAATTGCTTCGGATTTTCACTTCGCATTCACCTTTTCTTTTTCTTTGGATACACATTTGGCTTTTCCATAGGGGAAGCAGTTAATTTTTCTTAGTTGAGAAATTTCCATTCCAAATACGTATCTTATTATATGAAAGCCATCATCCTTCAAATTCTATATAAGGTTTTGCTAACGAATATTTCAGGGCATTCTTTAAGATTACTGTGTTAAGTAATACTTTCTTTCAATACATTAAAATTCATCACATAAACCATAAGGCACTCTTTAAGCTTTTTATATAATATTAAATTTTATTATCATGTGTGTTACACGTGAATTTTTACTTTCTTTATCTATCTTTCAGTAATAATAGTACACAAACATAAATAATTTTAGAATATAAAGTTTTAGTATATATAATTCAAATTTTATGACATTAGTCTATAAATTATTCAATATTATTTGAATTTGGAAAAATATTTTTAATAAAAGTAATGTAATGTAATTAAAAGTTTTATTTACAAATTAGATAAATATTATTAATATTTTATACTAAAATATTTAAAATGAAAATTGAACTTTATCTCATTTAGCAATTATTACTTTTTTTAATTTGAATTTCAGTCATTGTCTCTTTCTCTCTCTCTCTCTCTCTCTATATATATATATATATATATATTATAATATTGTATATTTATAAATAATTATGTAAAATAGTTTTGATATGAAAACATTTATTATTTTTGGCTCAAGACTTATTACTTTCTTAAAGGCTGCTCGAGTCTAATAAAGTAGGAACTTAATTAATTATTGTAAGAAAAATAAATAACATAACTCAAATTTTTTTGGATAAACATAATTGAAATTTAATCAAAAGGCAATGAGTAATATAGTGTTTCTTTCACTTCGCTTAAGCCACTTCAATAGATATACATATAGAGATAAGCATAACATCAATTTACCTTCCTAATATGCCAAAATCATGAGCAACTTATTTTAATTGACTTCTTTTTTTTTTTTTCATCGTCACAAATGGCTTGGTAGTTATTGATTGACTAAATTTGGATAAGGAATTTAATTAAAATTCTAAAAGAATTATCTCCTCTTTCCTTCATTCAAACACGAAGAAACGTATTCATATTTATTGAGATAGATTTATAAAATTCAGTGGAACTTGAAATTTAAGTGCATAAAATTGGGATTCTATCAAGTTCTCTTTTAAATTTGATTTAACAATTAGGTTCTTAATCAATAAGGTAGTTGATTTTTTTTTAATTGACTTTATATTAAAACTTGAGAATTAAGGTCCATGGAACTTAATAAATAAAACCTATAGTAGTGCCAAATGTACTTTGATTGTATTTTCTAGTTGTAGGCATAAGGTAACAATTGACTTCTTAATCTGTCAAAATATTTGGAAAAAACCCCTCCATTAAGCCTTTTTAACTCTTTCAAATTTATTATTATATGTATATATAATTAATTAATACCATCCGTACTCATTGTTACCTTTCAATATTTATGAAAGTTATTTATTGATTCCAGATTGTACATTTTATCAAATGGTTACAATAGTCGTATTGAATAATAAAATCACAATAATAATCAAGTAGAACCAAATTACTCAAGATAATAAATCAGTAATTGTAATTGTTATTATTATCCAATCAATTTGTTTCCAAGAATTATTGTCAAATTCTAAGCAGTGGTGGAGGATGGGGATGGCGTCCCCAATTTTTAATTTTTTGATTAGTATATGTTTAAAATTGAAAATATATAGTTTTTTTATTGTTTTGGACCAGTGGTAAGTCATCTAACTTATTGTTTAAAGACTGGGCATGAATTTTCTTTTCACCCTTTGCACACGGTTTTCACCCTTTCTCTTATTTTCTTTTTTTGTGAATCAATCAAATAATTTTGACTCTTAATGACTCAAAAAAGTCCTAAATAACCAAGTGTGATGGTCTTAGAATTTTGACGTTGAATGGCCCAGAAGAAACCTATATTCACCATGTTCATGGACAATCATGCAAACAAGAATATTTGTAGAATTTGAGTAAGTTTTAGATGATCAACTTAAGCTACGTATGTGATCCTAGGGGAACTTAAAGTAGGCAGCTTTACAATTTACTCTTCAACCTCACAAAAATAAAGTACTTAAAAATGCCTAAATTCATCAATTGCAAAATAAATATGCAAACAACAATAATTTTAGATTTTGGACAAGTTTCAAAGGATGAAATTAAGCGATCCATGTGATCTTATGACTAATTAGTGGGCGGCCTTAAATTTTGACCTTGAATGACCAAAAAAAGTCCTAAATAAGCCCACACTGACCAAGAACATGGACAATCATGCAAACAAGAATATATTTGTAGAGTTCGAGCATGTTTTAAATGATAAACTTAGGTTGAGTGTGCGGTCTCGTGAAACCTTAGTAGTAGCTTTATAAATGTGTCCTGTAATGGCACAAAAAGTCCTTAAAAATTCACCAAGCACATGAACAATTAAGCAAAGAAGAATATTTCTCTATTTTGTAACAATAAATAAATATAAAATTATAAAAAATGAAGAATTAAAAAGGAGTATCAAATAATACTCACTGGAAACTTTCAATAGCTAGGCAAAAGCAACCAGTAGTAGAAAATCAACCGAGACATGTAGTCTAATAGAAATGCAAAGCAAGATCCTGCAGAAAAACACATACAATTAGTTAATTTTCTTAATTAATATTGAAGTTGCGAGATAAATGGAAAAGAAACTAAGGAAAGGGAGAGTGGAGAATAAAAGGGTAAAGTTGCATATCGATATAATTGGTAAACATTAATAAGAAAATATTGATTTTATCTTAGCCGTTAGATATAATAAGGATCAAATGATCATAATTAATGAGTTAATTTTACACCAATGAAAATGAAATCCTCCCCTTTTATCTAATTATTTTTTTACGTATATAGGAATTAGATTTTGTTATCCCACGCCACCTGCTAGCTAACCTAAATACTTCGGATAAAAAAATAGATACTCAACCAGCAATGAACTATTGTGCATTGGTCCTTTTCCTTTGGTCATGTATCCTATTTTTGTTGCTTTTACTCCTCGTTCTTGTAAAAATGATCGGAAAACGTCGTCTGTGAACAAAAGGGAAAAGGAATTCTCGTACAAAGTCTTTTCATTTTCAACTTTTAGCACATGCACAATTAAGTTCCTATATAAAACTTAAATCTTAAAATAAAATAATCTAACTAAAATACTTTGTAAGGTATAAAACAAATTGACTGTTGTATGCAAAAAAAAAAATTATCAGAATATATATATATATATATATATATATATCTCTATGTAACAATAACCCATCACAGTTTAGAATCACCACACCAATTGCTCCCAATGCTCATGCCACATTAGCACAGGTAACCACATTCAGCAAACACAACACAGTCTAGAACCACCACGCCAATTGGTCCCAAAGCTCAGGCCGTGTTAGCACAAGTAACCACATCCAGCAAACACAAAAAACCTTAGAGAGAGGGAGGAAGGGAGAGAGTTGTTGCATAGTCGTCAGTTTGAGAGAGAATGCAACGTGATAGAACGGTGTAGAGAGGTCGGGAGAGAGTTGACAGAAAGTGAGGAAAACGAGAAGAAAGAAGTGTGGAGAGAAGAAACCGAGAGAAAAACGATATGGAAAAGAGGAAATCGAGGAGGAAGGGAGAGATCGACAATGACAAGAGATAAAGGTGGAGTCATCAAAGTCAAGGGGGAAGGCAGGAAATCGATGAAGGAGAGGAACAGATGTGATTTTAGGATCGTAGGGTTTATTTGAAAAGGTGAAAGAAAAAGAACATAAAGATTTTAATCTTAAACCATTTTTGACAGATTTCATATGTAAATTCTGTTGAAAATATTTTTCTTTTTGTTTTATGCCATTACTGATGATATATTTCATCGCTAAAATACATGTAGAGTATTTCTGTTGATAATACTCGATAATTCATCAAAAAGTTCTGATGGAAATTCGTCGATAATACATCTAAAAAGTAGAAAATATATTTGATCAAAAATTTGATAAGAAAGAAATACTATTATCGAAAAATTTAATTTGATGGATCAAATTCTACAAAAGTTCCCTTTTTTTTTTATCTTGTTGTGATCATCACAAATGAAGTTGTTAGTTTTATTAGCTTTAAAGCGATTATAGTTTTAAAATGAAAAAAATCATGATCAAAATCACTAGAATGAATTTTGAGTTTAAGTTCTTCATGTTAAAATGAATTTTTCTTGGAAATATTAAAGTGTTTTTCATCAAATTGGGTTCAAAAAGAAGTTTTTTTTTCATGAACTAAGCTATAGGGA